TCTTTGTACCGAGGACCTGTTCACGGACCTATGTATACCCACCAAGTTGAAGAGTCTCTAGTGAATCAATCAATTTTTTTTTACTTCGGACTCCAATTGATGCAACTTAGTGACGTTGGAAAGAAGACTCATAGACCTTTAGTTTGATAGGTCATGGGTAAACTAACTCTTTATGACATGAGAGATATGGTAGTTTGAAGTTGACCCTTATATGAACTCATGCGAAAATTTAGCCGATAGAAATGCTTTGAACTTGAATTGGTGTTTGAGGTACTTTACTGTCACGACCCAAAAATAGACGTGATGACACTTGTCTTTTCTCACTAAGACAAGTCAGCCTCAACCCAATGAAAATGAAAGAAAAGTGGGAAAAAAGCAAAAATAAGAACAAGATAAAGCGGAAAACTCATTCTTCTATTAAAACTCTCAAAATTTGGTTGTCACGTGTACAATCCACTACATACATAAGTACAAAATTAAGAAATAAATACAAGTCTCAAGCTTTGTTTCTCAAATAGAACAAAGTGTGATGAAAGGATAAAAAGGTCCCGCGATTGACAATCAACTACCTCTTCAAGTCCTTGACGAGCCTCGAGATCAATAGAAGGAGAAAGAGATCATACAGGTTAGGGCTCAAAACCTACACAAGTGTAGAAGCAAGGGTGAGTACCAACAACATGGTACCTAACAATCAATCTGCTAAACAAAAGAACTAGCTACAATTCGAATACCCCTTACACCCCAACCAAACCATCTCAAACTACAATCTACACAGAAATCAACCCAAGCTATAAATTCTACAATACACCGCTCACATGCCCAATATTCAAAGTTCGATCTTCACAATTCAATACTCAACAAATAAAATAAGTCAATCTCAATGACAAGTAGTCCCAGTCACACATAACAAACAGATCAATTACAATTCAAAAGTTAGTCACACATAAACATCAAGTGTATCAAGTCACAATGATTATCACTAGCCAGAACTATTTCCCATCGTCTCTATAACACTCACCGGTAAAGACCTCAGCATGATAACACTCGTTGGTAAAGACCTCAACATGATAACACTTGCTGGAAAAGACCTCGGTATGATAACACTCGCCGACAAAGACCTCGACATGATAACACTCACCAGTAAAGACCTCGGCATGATAACACTCTCCGGCAAAGACCTTGACATAATATTACTTCACATTTCTCATCACAATGTTCAACGATCAAAGCACACAACCAATATCACATCACATAGAAGAGACAACAATTTGCACAATTCAAGTCTACATTCATGTTTTCAAGCATTTCATCAATCAATCATTAAGGGTTACATTAAGGCAATTCACACCATCATGTTCAACACATAGTCTTTTTCATGATGACCCCTTTTTATTCATTTAGATATACAAAGTGGACAATTTAAACCCTTCACCTAATTCCCATTACTCCCAACACACAATCAAACAAAGGAAGCATACGAATTCAAACTATAATACAAGGTTTAGGAAGCCACTTGCCTTAGATCAATCAACAATCACTCCAATAGTCGAGTCTTCCCTTTTTGAACCACTTTCGGAGCCACACAATCTATAATAATCTAGTATATACAATCAATTTCTGGAAACAACAACACCCACAATCATTCCCTTTAATGGTGGGTCAATCAACACGAAAACCAATTCTAAAATTAAGGTTTGAATCCAAAATTTAATACTTGAAAAAATTACTCAAGGCTTCAGAAAATCATTAGGGAAAATCATTTCAAAAATGAACTGGAAAATCAGTTCATAACTCACGTTTTCTTGAAACTCAAGTTCATGAAGAACTCCCAATTTATCAATCCAAAATCTTGATTTAAACTCATAAGTTCACTAATAATAATGGGTAATCAAAGATTTAGAGTTAAGAATCATTACCCAAAATATTTCCCTAAAAAATCTGGTCATAATCGCCACCCGAAAGTTCCCAAAACTCAAAAATGGTGAAATGGGGTTTAAACCCTGAAATGGAAGCAAAACCCTCTCAGGTGTCACTTAAGCGAATCATATCCTCGCTTAAGTAAACCCCGCAAAAGCTGAGGATCTCACTTTTGCGAAACAGGTTCCGTTTAAGTGAACATCAATAAAGCAAACCATGGTTCGCTTAAGATTACCCTGCCCAAATGGCCAATCTTGCTTTTGCAAACCTGGTTCCTCTTAAGTGACCATCGCTAAAGCAAACTAGGTTCCGCGTAAGCGAACATTGCAACACCTGAAACAATATCAACCAACAAAAAGATAACAAAAGGATTCTCGAGATTTGTTCAAAATCCCATGCACACAAACCACATGTGCAAATAAATTCTACTTGACGTTCCAGACTCAATAGATTGTATTTTTATTTTTGCATTTTGAGATTTTGACCTCCGGAGGTCAGTATTCTTATTTTTGAGATTTTGACCTCCGGAGGTTGGTATTCTTATTTTTGAGATTCTGACCTCCGGAGGTTGGTATTCTTATTTTTGAGATTCTGACCTCCGGAGGTTGGTATTCTTATTTTTGAGATTCTGACCTCCGGAGGTTGGTATTCTTATTTTTGAGATTCTGACCTCCGGAGGTTGGTATTCTTATTTTTGAGATTCTGACCTCCGGAGGTTGGTATTCTTATTTTTGAGATTCTGACCTCCGGAGGTTGGTATTCTTATTTTTGAGATTCTGACCTCCGGAGGTTGGTATTCTTATTTTTGAGATTCTGACCTCCGGAGGTTGGTATTCTTATTTTTGAGATTCTGACCTCCGGAGGTTGGTATTCTTATTTTTGAGATTCTTCGGTATTTTTATTTTTTGTAATGTTGAAATTCCGACCTCCGGAGGTCGGTATTTTTATTTTTTGTAATGTTGAAATTCCGACCTCCGGAGGTCGGTATTTTTATTTTTTATTTTTTTAATTCTGACCTCCGGAAGGTCGCTATTTTTAATTTTTTGTTTTTGAAATTCTGTCCTCCGGAGGTCGATTTTCTGCTACAAAACTGGCAGCAAATTGCTGCAATTTTAGTGCCCACCTGCATATTTATACCAAACAACCAAAGAATTTCAAATAAACTTCATCCAACCAAAACAACACAATATTTTCAACATATAACATTAAACTATTTCAAAATAAACTTCATCCAACCAAAACAACACAATATTTTCAACATATAACATTAAACTATTTCAAAATAAACTGCATTCTACTTCAAAATAAACTAAAATACGATCAAACGATTCCAAAAATATAGAAGTCTAAAATGTCAATTCAGC